TGTGACAAGTTCTATTGCTTCATTAAGTGTCTTAGGGTTTCTGTTTAGCACATCATATGCAATCCGGGTATTCCGGTATCCTCTTAAGAAAGATTCTGCTGCAAGTCGATCTTGCATTTCCAAGTCAGTACCAGGACAAGCTTGGGTAATTAAGCGACGCACTTCTTCACCAAACTCATCATTTGACTCTCCTTTTTGTCTAATCTCTGCCAGTTTCCTGCGAACAGTGGCTTGGGGGTCTTTGCGCCCAAAGCGTTTAGTGAGGCTGTCGCGTATTGAAATGTAGTTGGCTGTTGGTGCTTTAGGCAAGGAGCAGACATACCACATTGCCTTACCCTTCAGACTTTCATAGAGGCGGTCTATTTTCTCAGTTTCCGTCCAGTTATACCGCTCTGCTAGTCTTTCAAATGGAACAAGGAAAACTTCAATATCTTCCTTGCCTTCATATGTCGGGAGTTTTCATCAAATGGTCGGTCTGTTCCCCTTCGGTCTGAGGTGAAGTCAGGTGCATAACCAGCAAACAAAGGTTGCTGAGATGATGGTGCCCATCCAGAAAGCGCATGACCATGTGACCTTGGGGTTGGTGCAACATCTGAAACCTGTGAATTAACCGGAGGATACTGTCAAGTCTGCATCAATCCCGAAGCCGCATGTGGCCTCGGGGTTGAAGCAAATGCTGGGATTCTTAGGGAATGACTTATCTCTTCCTTTGATTCCTCAAGAAATTTCTGAAACATGGCTTGCTGTATAGCAATCTGTTTTGTTGAAGATTCTTTTATTTCCTGCATAGTTTGCGCAAATAGTTCTTGATTTTGTTGCTGCTGTCTGTCAAAAGAAGAACTGAAAGACTCAAGTGTCTTGTGCAGCCAGACGTTGTCATCTTCATTTCTATTATCAGTCGCTATTCCGCTGTCACTATAGTTAGTATCCTTCATCATTGCACCATCCGTGTTTTCGGCCTCGTTCGTCATGTTGGAATGAGAGGAGCTCTTGTTCATCTACCTCAAGTGTATCACATGGGGTGTAACACTCCTTAATAATGTCAAGCTCAAGTCGCCTTAACCACTTCTGGGACAAAAGATAGCCTGGGTGCAAACCGTCTGATAGCAATTCAAAAAAGTATCTCTTTTTGCCCCGTCTGGAATCCCGCAAGTCAGCGTTGAATTTAAGAGTGTTTCGACCTAGCTCTCGGTTTATCTGTTCAATATGTGTATTGAGAAGATCTACCTGTTTTTCAACTTCTTGGTCCGAGTCGAGGAATATTGTTGGATTCTGATGCTATTCTGCCACAATAAAAAGTCTCTCAGTTCCTTTAGAAAGTTTTATTTGACAGATAGTTAACCCTCACTTGCATGTGCAAGTGCGCATGTGAACGTGCGTCTGGTAAAAAGCTACAATAAAACAAAACCAAAGTAAGTAATGACAGGTACTGCTTTCCATAGAAAAATTTCTCAAAACTGGATTCACATAATGTGAACAAATTACACAGACAAGTAATATCTCTAGTAAATCATAAACTAACTATACTCTGATCAACTGCATCAAATTCCATTCATAAAATATGTTTTTAAGAGAAATACAGACTTAATTACTATCGACTATAAATGATGACATGAATAGCACGCCATACTTTAAGCACATGGCACAATCATTAACTAAAATTATGCAGAACTGCATTAATTAGCATAGCTGACATTAGAGATATAGTTGAGCGATAACATAATCCGAAGAATAAACAATGTGTAAAAACTTTAAACTACTTATACCGTGGATTACGAACATTCAACCGGGAGTAAAAACTCGCCGTGACAGTATGGCGGCACAAACACAGAAAATTAACTTGTACTTAACACAATCAATAAAAATTCTAAAAAGTTTACGCACACCGCACAAATGGCTCAGAAGAGCTTACTAGAGGACTGCAAGCGGAGAATCCCCTATCTCTAAATCAAAGCAGTATTCGACATTAATCCCGATGCAAATAACGTTACTTCCGTTTTGCACAAGGACAAACTAACACACACACACACGTGCCTTACTATATCCCCTCCAACCCCATTTCGAAGGGATAATAATTCCCTCCTTTAAATGTGTGTCCTAGAAATAGTACATCAAAAAAGAAAATTGAAGAAACAGGCAGATGCATACAAATGTACACATTTTTTGTAAATGAATCCACACTGTCACTGCACTGCGTTTCTTGGACAACCTTCAGACTGAAAACAACTTCAACACTCAAAAAAAGATTGTTACTTCGACTTTAAAATGTCTTTATCCTTTTTCATAGGAAATGGTTTTCATACAAAATCAAATAAGTTTCAGCTTATCAAGCAAATTAAAGAAAATTACCAGGAAAATACAAGGAAATGCTTTTCCTCAGCAAAAATGTTGAAAACTGCTAACGTTATCATCTTGCATGTAAATTATCAGATTTAATAAGTACTATTTATGTATTGCTGGTATATTATTCCCACTAAAAAAAGGCTCATAGGCCACATTGCTCATCTTTGGCCATTATATTGATCTTAATTAATCAAAAGATTAATAGAAAATAATTTTCATATTTATTCACATGAAAAATTCTTATCCTATACTGTGGTCACAGTAGTGAGGGGTATAGTCTGTAGTCTCTGAGGGCAATGACGTCATTGATATAGGTCAAGGTCAAGGTCAAAAAAGTAGGTCAGATCAAGAGTACTAGGTCAAAGTCAATACAAGGTCACAACTGTCTGAGGTCAAAACAGTCTAGGGGCACTTACATTAGTCATCAAAACTGTCTGAGGGCACCTCAAAATTTGGTTTACCATAACAGGGTCACCTTGAGGCTAATGAGGTCACCTTAATATATAGGTAACCTTGTGGGCACCTTGATAACCGGGTCACTCTGATATATGGGTCAGTTTGAGGTCATCCGTTTGGGGTCACCCATCTAATCTTTCAGCTCATGATTAAGGTCACCTGGATAATTTTGAGGCCACTAACAGCCTGGAGTCACCCTGATAATTAGAACAGGCTTAGGTCACCTTCAGGAGGTCACCTTGATATTTTCCTATATAAAAATTTACGGCATATACCACAAAGTAATACAAGTGGAAAATCGCTGGAAGAATAACTGAAGATTTTTTCCTTCTGAAGGTACGTGTATTTTTCATTTAGTTTTTAAAAACAAGTCCAAGTAGGGATAATAATTATACCAGGCCTAAGGAACATGAAACATTTTAAGCTTTGGTTAGAATCCTAGGTAATAACTTTCTTTAGAGAAAGAACAGTCTCGGAGAAAAAAAAAAAGCTAACTTACAGTTTTACATCTTTAAATTGCTATTTTCAGGGTATGTTACTTTTAATTCATAAGTTATAAAAATTTTACAAAAGATCAAAAATTTTGACTCGAGTCTAAGTCGTTTCATAATCCTTGGACCATGAGTATATTAGAAATATAATATGACAAGAAAAAATCGTACATTTTGTAATTATAATTTAATAATGACTCAATACATGTATAAACAGGACTGTATATATTGTAAAACATCTGTAGACTTATCATATTATCCCTTATTTAAGTACATGAAAAATGAAGGTTTATACCCTTTTGTTCGTTTCAAAAGAAATATTTACAACAAATTTTTACTTTGTTGATATTGTTCATATCACACAACATGGTACAAACGATTAAGCTTATAGAAGAGAATCAAACTTGACCCTCTTCTTCTCTGGCTCATCACCACCGTATTTATCATTTAGATAATTCACAATGATATCACTTTGTTCCATGTCCTGCAGAATCCTCTTTTGAAGAGCCTTTAAAACTTGAAATTCTCTTGTTGCACTGACCCGTGGCTCTGTGAACCTCCGGTTCAGCGCTTCATATTTCTTGGGACTCTTTCTCCTAAACAGATACAAAATTAATATGTTAAATGTTATCTGTCAGATAGAATATCTTCTTATCTTTTTATGTACCTAATTGTTTATTTCATCATGTGCATGCGTGAGAGGATGTGTGTGTGTGTGTGTGTGTGTGAGAGAGAGATAGTCAATTCAATAGATTACCTAAAGTTCGTCAGGATAGAATCCTCCACGGCTGCAAATGGTGCAGAACTTGAACTTGCTGCGGGTGGCCAGTTCTCATCCATAGGTGGAGAGTATGTACAACTCGTGGTACTAGTTGTACTACTGGGGCTACTGGATGTGTATCTATTTAATGGGAGAAATTAAAGAAAAAGTGCGTCAGATTTTTTCCTAGGATATTGGTTTTATCTTACTAAATAATAATAAATTTTAAAATGAATGATGAATTTCATTACCTTTTGAAAGGTACTTCTGTTACTGCTACTTTCTCCTTTTTAATTTGTACTCCGCTGCTTGGAATTATTGGCTGTGTATTGAGAAGAGTTCTCAATACAGATGTCTCCTCCCTCTTTGTGTTAGTTTTAGCTGCAGAACTTTGACTTTCAGAACAGGGGGGTCTTTTAAAGAAATTGACCAAATTAAATAACCTACCTTAATACAAATTTTTAATGCATATAGAAACATTTGCCCAAAGTACTGTAATTAACCACAGAGAAATTATGACACTTTAATTTTACAGGTTTTTAATAAATAATTATCGTAAGTATGAACAAACCCTTCTTTAAACTTTTGTGTCATACCTTGAAGAGGGAGGAACTTGTTCATTGATCTGTACCAAGAGATCCTCAAAGTCTGGAGATGTTTCAAAATCACTGTATAGTCAACCAAAAAAAAAAAAAAGAGAGAGAAATTTAAGACGTGCATTTGCAAGACCAACACACACACATACAATCACAGTGTTTTTCTTTGACATTACACAAGCCTTGAAAGAATTGATATTTTAACGCATTAAGCTTTCAAAATTTAGTTTAATAAAAAAGCTTAGATAGCTAATTAATTTTAAAACTAAGTATAACATGTGATAATTCTTACAAGGTATTTGATTATATTTTTTTAAAGTTTAACATCATGTTAAAGTTTAACACATGTTAAAAATTAAAATCTAAATGCTGCAATTCTTGATTTTTTTCTGAAATTACTTATAACAACATTTAAGAAATTATATTTTTACTTACAATAAGTCAGAGAAATCCGCCATGTTAACTACTTGGTGATTAGCTGCTTTCAGAAAACCGAGTGGTAAATTTCTCTGAACAAATCTAGAATTTATACCCTGCAAATTAAGCAAATGTCACGCATTAAACCGATTTTTGCGACTTTCTTTTTTATGGGGCTGGGGTGTACCCTCCAAAGGTAAAAAAAATCGTGAGGATATTAAAATTAGAGGGTGAGGTTAAACATCTACAGGAAATCATGTTTTCTGTGTCAATTAAAAGAGTGTCACCTGATTATGGTAATTAATCATCATTGTATCCCCTGTACTATTTCATATAAATTAACCCTGTAATTTTTTTCTCATTCAAAAATCCCCGCCCGGTCATGACATACTTGTACCTGCGCAAAAAAAAAAAACGAACCTGTAACGGGATGACACTCGTAATTAATCATTCAAGCAGTTGTGTATCAAAATAGCATAATGATTAAAATAAGAAATTTTTCTTATGACTAGTGTAACGCATGCACGTCTCCTTTTATCACTGGGGAAATTAACACGCAAAAATGTTAATAACATATTTTGTAAAGGATACCCATAAAAACTTTTCTTTCTTATTTTGTATTTTAAATAAATGTAGTTAACTTTTAATTTTTTTCATAAGAACCTCTTTTTAAAAAAAGTAATGGTTGCTTATACATGTACCCTCTCCCGATTTAAGATGAAAAATAAGAGATCTGTAGGTAGGTTGTATAAAAATTCTCAGAAAATTTCAATGTTAATATTTTTTAATTGATCGTCGAGAATACATAAAAAAATAATTTCTTCCTAGGAGTTAAAAAGAAAAACAATCGGTTTGTTGTTATTAAGCTGAGCCTGTCATCGGCTTTAATTTAATAAACAAAAAAGTCCCGCGTTTTTTGTTCAGCAACGGCGCGTTTTTACCAAATAAGGGTATTCACGATGTCACATGTCATATGACCATCTTGCACACGCTGAGTTTCAGAGGGAAAAATCGGACGGGGGAGCCATGACGGTTTACTTCAACATGACTTTAGTCGTGAAACTTTTGACCATTTTGTCGTTATTTTTGCCAACTGGGTCTGCCTATCCACAGGCATGTGGATTGTGTCTTGCAAGGAGAGGAATCGCTAACTGCTTGGACCAGGGTGTCTTTTCCTGCATTAGGATTCTGAATCCTGATGGCGGCCGCGTGAGGGAGGTATTTGTACCACGGTGCAGCCAAAAGATTGAGCCTGCTTATTTGCAGACAGTGACCCGTTCAATTGGAAAACGATGTCATGCAAGTAAGTTACTTTATATGTACACCGTGTGTAGGTGAAGAAATAGTATAATTGTTTATATGAACGAATTTATTTTTATTAGACTTTAAATGCAATATTGTAAATTTATATACATTTAATATTATGAAGGATTAGGATGGGCTTTTTAATTGAAATCTAGAAGTTCGTTGACAGTCAAATTCACTCCCTCACCAGAGGGCGTGCTACACAGTATGTTGAAGCGAAAGGGAACGACAACTCTATAGAATGTCTAATTTTAGCAAGGGAACCCCTGTTCCGGTTAACCTATAATGCACTTTTACAAAGATACTTAGGTGAGCTAGCGCTATTGCCAACATGATTTAATTTTCGTAATCAGTAATTATTAAGATGGTACACTGAAATTGTGATGTGTGGTGGGGGTATAACGGTGCTTATGTACAGGTTGAATAACATAACATAGAAATGGAAAAGACCGAGTCTATTTTTAGCACGGGAACTTTTGTTTGGGATGTCCCATAATGCACCTTATCTGAAATATAGAGAAACGCATAGGTATCCCATTTCCCCAAAGGGTTCAAATCATGACCGAGGTAAGATAAATCCCGAATTCCCCTTTGAATTTGGGGCGTTTCCGTCTAAGACAGGGACTGCTTTTTTATGAGATGAAAAACAATGCGTCTGACTGTCCCAGGTTTGTGATAATGCGAGGTCATTTGAATTTTTACGGAGGGGGTGAAAAGACCAAGGCTTGATTTCAAACACACATAAACAAATGGCTATAAAATTGTTTAAGATAAGTATTATTTTAAAAGATGTAAAGATTTTTATTTACAAATAGAGAATATTTTTTTTCAATTGTGTTTCTTTCTATATTTTCCTGTCGACTGTTTACACTTATGATAAAAAAATAACAAGATGTCAAATTAACCAGATTCATAAAGTGGAATTCACCAGATGCAAGTTCACTATATACACAAGATGCCAAGTTGACTTGTTACCAGTACCCTCAAACTACCCCTCACAAAAAAAAACTGCACTTTCAAATTTCAGTAATGGCTACATATTTGTTTTGATATGTTATAGGTGTGTCATCCTTGTCCACGATGACTGGAACCATTACATCTACAAAAACAACCAAAGAGACTGTGACAACCACTACCAGTCCATCTACGAGAACGAGAACCACCAAAGAGACTGTGACAACCACTACCAGTCCATCTACGAGAACGAGAACCACCAAAGAGACGGTAACAACCACTGCCAGTCCATCTATGAGAACGGGAACCACCAAAGAGACGGTAACAACCGCTGCCAGTCCATCTATGAGAACGGGAACCACCAAAGAGACTGTGACAACCGCTGCCAGTCCATCTATGAGAACGGGAACCACCAAAGAGACTGTGACAATCGCTGACAGTCCATCTATCCAGCAAAAGCAGACTCAGGGTATTGATGTTGATGGTAAGGTTTTTTGATTGCCATATCATTGTAATTTTTTTGTCTGTTTTACATAAATATCAAAATTACATAAAACTATCTCAAGTAGGTGAGTAAAGCTATATAGGTAATTCAGGCTATGTACCTATAAATCTAGTCTCTGTCAAAGGTCAGATAAAAAAAAATAATATAACTTGATGTTAGTTTGATACATTGTTTTTTGGGAAAATGTGTTTTAATTATTTATTCAAATGATATATTTTAAAAGCAAAAAAAAAAATATCCTATAATGTATAAATAATTATTGTAGGTTCACAGAAGAATAACAAAGATGTGTTCCTTACGACGGAGATGAAAGGTTTCAAACTCCTTGTTTCTTTAAATCTTGGTTTTAGTATATGCATTTTTATTGGTTTGTTAATTTTAATCAAAAATAAGTTTAACATGCTGAAATGTGCAACTAAAATATCCAAAAAGAGATTTAAAAGAAATCGTGCAATTTTCAAACCAAGACTTGGTAAAAAAGCAGTCATACATATCTTCAACAGTTGATGATGATTATGACTCTGTTATATTTCATAGAGAATTTTCGTGTTAGTGTTACAATATTTGCAATGCTATATATGTGTAATTATGTTGTTAAAAATAAGTTTTAATTTAATAGGTATGCTTGCATGGGCAGTCGTGTCTACCATACTAATTATCCTGATCCTGATAAAAAGATGGTTATTAGAAAAATGCCAATTCCATTGCCCACAAGCACCCACTCCCAATGATCAGTCAACACCTGCTTCACAACCACCACCCGCTGAATACATTGAGCTGTACACCCCACAATCACATGACACAACCCCCATCACCCCTGAAACACCAGCAACTGTTACCTCAGTGAAACCGCTTTTAACTCCAAAGGAGGAGGCAGTTGCCAACAATACCAGGTCGAAGACTGCAAAGAAGCAGCTGAAGTTGTAACTTAGCAGTACATGTTAATTTCAGTCTCTGTGTGGGGGAGGGGGCGAACAAACTGTATATATGCTAAGGAAGGATGGTAGTTTTGAATGCAGATTGTTTTTTATTTTATTTTACAATATTTGCTTACCAAAAAAAAGGGGGGGGGTTTATGTAGCAGCTGATGTTAATTTCATATCAAGCACATTTGCTTTTGAATGATTTTTAAAGTACACATTTTTTTTTCTGTTAGGTATAGAGGTTCAGAAAAAGTGGTGTGATTTTGTAATGCATTGTAAACATGCTCTTTTCTTTCCCTACCCATTTGCTTTTGTAAACATTTTGAATGATTTTTAAAGTACACATTAAGCAATTATTAGGTTTTTAGAGTTTGAAAGTTTAAAAAGTACACAAACTTTTTTGTAGAATGTGAAAGTACTATTTAATATATTCAGTGAAATGTTATCTATTATATTTTCTAAAAACATAACTTAAATGTGCAGATGGGTGTATTTCAATTTAAAATTTTTGAAAAAGTGTTTCCATTTTTTAACCTGAAAGATCATTTTGTTATGAAAAGGGGCATAACCTATAGACTGAAAGGAAAAAAAAGTTGTCAACATGGTAATTTTTATATTATAAAAACTAATTCTTTTGTAAGTCTAAATGCCATTATATTAATTTTCTAATAGACTTTTTTGGGGGGAGAAGAAATATATTCAAGATTTTAAGGATTTTTTTTTGTACAACATACAATTCTTGTTTTATTATCAAAACTGAAAATAATTTTCTTTCACACTGATTGGATATCTTCCTATCATTTTAAAAGGATAGGTAAGGAAATGAAAGAATGTTTTGGTCATAATTTCTTATTGTCAATTTTTCTTGAGAAAACATATATTCAAGTCTTAATGACTTTTTGGGATGTCTACCTCAGTCCAAGTGACTATTTGGTATTGGTTGTGATTTTTTTTTCATTTATTTTCTTTCATATTGATTGAATGTCAATTGTCCTTTTTTTTTTAGAAAGTATATATTCAAGTTTTGATGACTTTTTTGGGTTGTCTACCTCAGTCCGAGTGACTATTTGGTATTGGTTGTGAGTTTTTTTGAGAAAATATATATTCAAGTTTTAATGACTTTTTGGGATGTCTACCTCAGTCCAAGTGACTATTTATGTCAAATAACATACATTTCTTGTTTAATTGTCAAAAACTGAAAATAATTTTCTTTCATACTGATTAAATGTCAATTGTCCTTTTTTTGGTGAAAGCATATATGAAAGCCTCAATGATATATTTATAATGATTATTTGTCTTTAAAAAAAAAGTTTTTTACCCTCAGTGTAAGTGACTTAATATTGTATTGGTTGTGATATAATTTTTAAAAGGGGCCAAGAGAATGTATGCTGACATCTTCTTATTTGTTTCACTGATTACTTTATATTGATTAAAGATGTTTTACTGTATAATCTTGTTTTTATTTTATAAAGTAAGTAAATCAGCAAGTCATTGTGATGACCAGATATGTATTCAGGGATGGGGTAATTGAATAAAGTAATTGTAATTGAGTGTAATTAATTAGATTTTTCTAAGTAATTGAAAGTAATTTGTATTTGCGCGAGCCCTCAATTACAAGTAATTGAATGTATTTAAAAACATTTCAAAAAAGGTCATGTATTTTCAATTACTTTTCAATTACATTTCAATTACTTTTTTCAAAATGAAAGTTTATTTTTAAAAAGGTGTCTTATACTGATACATAATTTTATACTGGTGGGTTTATATTACTTATTCCCACTTTTTATATGGACTCTCTATTCCCACTTGCAAATAACAATGAATGTTTAGATAGTTAAATTGTTTTACAGCAATTAGACTACATCCCATTTAGATTTATCTGTATTCTATTTTTTTCAAGATAGAAAATAATGAATGGAATTGTGATAGATATTATTTATTTCCTTCAAAAATATGGATTTGAGAAACACACAAAAATATATATACACACAAAATACATAGCTCAACTTGCTTATTGCAGAATGCTGAGGTCAGATTAAAATATTGTGACAATTGTCTATGAATTCATTTTGATATAAATTTTGGTATTAAAGGGATGTCGGACAACAGCCTTCTGAAAGACATACTTGACTCCTTGGAGGATCCAGATACTATACAACTCTTTGCAGCAGCCAACGGTCTGGTAGGTGATGTCGAGGTTGAGAACAGATTGCAAGAGCTTGAATGGGAGAGATATATAGATGACTTGTGGCAAGAGGTGGTACAAGAATTGGATGCCCCCGCAAAGCGACCAAGACTGACACATGATACTGATGACCAACCATCTAGCAGCGGACAATCCGGAGGTGGGAATGAACCTGTTGAAAAACCGTACTTTATATGGAAAAAGGACACAAGAACATATAAAAAGAACCTGGCCATTGACACGAGTTTCAAGATCAAATTTAACGACCAATGGCGAGGGGAAAAATTAGTGGACATTTATGACAAATTGCATGATATGTTTGATGACGTTTTGTCACAGACCAGAGGTAGTGATGCTGATTTGGGTCGAGTGGTCCTAAGTCACCCAAATTTAAACAATGCCATAGTTGTACCACTGCAGTCGTGGGAGAATTTAAACTCTGACACAGTGATGTCGGAAATCACCAGGGTATTGAATTCCAATGAAAATATACCTGTGGATGATCACCTGCTCGTTACAGTAGGATCCATCAATATGATGAGAGGAGGAAGTTGGAGTGGAAATAAATTGGCTGTCACGTCTCTCTTTGGACCTGGGAATTCCCTCATGAGAAAGAAATCTGTACTGTATGTGGAAAATGACAACAATTTATGCTTACCCATTGCCATAGGTCTGTGTTTTTTGAAAACCTGCAAGAAGGTTGATGCCAATGCATGGGAGCATTTAATCAGAGGGAATCCTGGAACAATTCTAGAGCACGCGATTCAACACAAAACCGTTCCAAAATGGTATTATGGTAACTTGCTCAAAAAATCTCGCAAGAAAGGGCAAACAGAGATGGCATTACAACTTTGCAGAAAAGCTGGTGTACCTGTTGACCGATATCTGGGTTTGAACGACATAGAACCTTTTGAAAACCTGCTGGACGTGAGTGTCAATGTCGTGTCATCGAGAGTAGGGAATAAATTTGTCAAGGTAGCAAGGGAGTCAGAGCGAACATGTCTGTTTTTGTACCACGTAGAATCGGAAAATGAAAAACATTGGCATGGCATTAGCAGTATCCAAGGCTTTTTCAATGCAGCTTATTTTTGCCATACTTGTTTGAAACCTTACAAAACCAAATTCAAGCATACATGTTCAACTTCTTGTGATGTGTGTCTGCACGATAACTGTGTGGAGACGGAAACAAAAGTAGGATGCTTATCTTGTGGTCGCGTGTGCCGTTCCCTTGAGTGTTTCAAAAGACATAAGGTGGGTAAAACTGTGCAGAAAGAACAGATTCCTCCTGCATGCGAGCTGTGGCATCAGTGTAAGAAATGTCGCGTAAAACTTTCAGCTGCTAAACGCAATCCCAAACTTCATGTCTGCGGTGAGTGGCAATGTTCCAGTTGTTTGGAATACCGCGTAGGGGAACATCTCTGTTTTCAAAAATCTTGCAGTTTGGATCCGGAAGAACGAAAGACGAAGAAATTCATCTTTTATGACTTTGAGACGCGACAAGATGATATTTATCAGTGTGAGGAGGGATACAACTCTTCTGGCATCAGATGTCGAGAATGTGCTCC